TGAAATTAAATTTGATTGACTTGAGAGTTGGAAGGCTTGAAGAAATACTACTGAGGTGCTTCAATTATCATAGCACAGACTTATATGAGTGTCAGTTGCATATGTGTGATTATACTTGAGATTCATTGTAGGTGTGATCCTGGCAACGCGACCCTCTCAAATCCACATTAAATTACCTTCCACTCATACGGACATTGAGTACATCCACCCCTCGGACTTGACCTTCAAATCAATTGATTACTTTATCACACAGGGATTATTCTGGCATCTATAGTGCCGTACCTCTCTGCCCATCCCTAATACTGTCAGTATGGATGAGTGAAGTAGTTTATTTCTCTCCATAAGAGCATAAACTTAATTTTAAGATGATTTTGAACCTGAGGATATGTGTGGTTTCGGCGTCATATTGATCTGTGGTGGTGACCTTTACATTTATTGAGCCATTTAGTAAATTGCCCTGGTTGTCATCAGTCTTTTCCACAGAATGAAAGTCACTCAGTTATATGCATCATATCATTGAAAGAATTCTGAGTACTCCTCAAAAATGATTATTATTAGTAGTAGTAGTAGTGGTATTTAGAATTTTTGAAGGAAAAAAAATATTTTCAAACGTTTGGGGTCAGTAAGGTTTTCAGGAATTAATAATTTTATTAAGGTTTTTAAAGACATTTATTTCAATTAATATTGATTTTATTTTTAATTTTCTATTCGCTGAATCCTGAAAAATTAGCCGCAGAACTGTGCTCAACATTTATAATACTAAGAAATGTTGTGCACCAAATCAACATATTTGTGAAACATCATGTGACACTGAAAAGTCAAAGGTTAGCAGTTGGTATTGAGCTGCTTAATGTCTTCATTGGTCTTAATCGCAAAAGTCAAAAGTCAGTACCCAGCTTCTGTAACCATGAGCATGTTGGAGACGTAGTGATAAATGATACGCCAAAGCACACAAAACTCACGAGAGGAGAAAATCTCATTTGGTGGCTTATTGTAGGAAGGTTTGAGAAAGTAGGAAACAATGCATAACAAAAAAAAAAGTTAACTGACTTTTTTTTTTTTAAAGGGAGAGGTTTATCTTATTTTTTGAAAACAATTTTTAAAACAATTTAAATATATATTTAATTTTAATCAACAATTTATGTTATGCTTTTCTATTTAATTTCTATTTAATACACTCAGGAAAAAGGGTACAAAACTGTTACTGGGGCGATACCCTTTCACTGACACTGAAGACTGGAGAAATGGCTGCTGAAAATTCAGCTTTGCTATCACAGGAATAAATTACATAATAAATTACATAAATATGTTGAAAAATAAAATATTTTAAAATTGTAAAATATTTTAAAATTGTAATCATATTTCAAATATTACTGTTTTACTGTATTTTTGGTCAAATAAATGAAGCCTTGGTGAGCATTTCAAAAACATGTACTGATTTTTTATTTAAATTTTTTTAATGTACTGACCTTTTGAACAGTGTATGGCAAAAATTATACATGCAAGTATGAGTCGGGTGAACAATACTGTAGATTGTTCACTAACTGTCTCTATCTGTCTCACTCTTTTTGTCTCTGTTTTACTCTAACATCTTGCTTTGAAGCGGCGCTGATGTGGTGACTTCCCAAGATGCACAGTCTCACTCGAGTGAATGATATTCTTCGACAGGAGTGAAATGAGATACAGTATCATTCCTTTATTCCTGTAACCTCCTTCCTCGCCGCAGCAGTGCTTTAGAGACTCAGTGGGCCTACCTTATTCCTACTTCCCTCTCTGACCATGGCGGTCCCACAGTTCTATCACTATCGATTAAATTATCAGCAATGGATGCGCACGGGCATGAAATTGCTTTACGTTCTCTCACAGGGTCTTGCTGCCAGCCACAATTTCCCCAGCCACATTTCACACAGCAGATGGGGAGGCTGCAAAAAGTCATTTTTGACCGATTCAAGGATTTGTCAGGGAATCTTGAGGACAGGAAATGGGCCATTGGGACAAGAGCTCAGTGAGCTATAAAGGAAACCCACTCAGAGGGTCAAGAGCTCCAGTGAACTTTCCTGAAAGCCTAATTTTTGGCGCCATTGTCTGCTGATTTAAGCACTTAAAGATTCTATGATGAAACGATTGTGATGATAATCGTGTTATGCAAAGCAGTGATGTCTTAATGTGTCTCGCTTCGCGCCAGCAAAACTAACTTGCAAAACTTTTGAAATTTCCTAAATGAGTTTCAAAGAATCCCCTTGGTTTTATCCTATAACATCATGGATCCCAGTAAGCGAGAAGCTCACATAGAGGAACTTTAAAACTTAGGGAGGCTTGAAAATGTCAAATGCAACGCTTTTCTCATCTTTGGCTTTAGCTGATGTGTATTTACTCATGGTACAGTGTCATTCATCAATCTGAAAGACTGCAACCAAAAGTAAATACTCAGAGAGGAACATGAAGTCAAAGGTTAGCAGTTGGTATTGAGCTGCTTAATGTCTTCATTGGTCTTATTCGCAAAAGTCAAAAGTCAGTACCCAGCTTCTGTAACCATGAGCATGTTGGAGACATAGTGATAAATGATACGCCAAAGCGCACAAAACTCACGAGAGGAGAAAATCTCATTTAGTGGCTTATTGTAGGAAGGTTTGTGAAAGTAGGAAACAATGTATAACAAAAAAAAAAAGTTAACTGACTTTTTTTTTTTTTTTTTTTTAAGGGAGAGGTTTATCTTATTTTTTTGAAAACTATTTTGAAAACTATTTAAATATATATTTAATTTTAATCAACAAGTTATGTTATGTTTTTCTATTTAATTTCTATTTAATACACTCAAGAAAAAGGGTACAAAACTGTTACTGGGGCGATACCCTTTCAAAAAGGGTACAATTTAGGAACTAAAATGTATTTTTAAGATGCTAATACATTTAAGGTACTAATATGTGCCATTTATAGGTACATAAGGTACAAAGATGTACCTTTTAGCTTTTGTGACAGCTTTGTACCTTTTTTTCTGAGAGTGTATGTGTGTAAATGTTACTAAAACTTTGGCAATTCAAAGCTTTTTTTAAAGAAATGACATCCATATTGCGTCTAACCGATCTAGAGCTGAAATCACAAATTCCAGGCTTTAATATGAAAAACTGCGAAGACTCTTAGCATGAACTTGTAGCTATTTACACATCTTAGTCACGTCAAAAGCACATCATAGAAATTGCCTGTCATGTTGCGGCAGCCAAAGTCAGACTATAAAAGGGAACTTTGGAGTAGCATAAGATCTTCAAATCGTAAGATTGAAATCGGATTTCAACCTCAGATGCTTCAGAGCTCTACATATGTATTCATATGGCATACATGCACAACATTTGAGTCTTGCTGTCCTATTGAGCTACAGATTCACAATGTGAATCTAGCAGATACATTACATTTCTATCACAGTAATATTCACTGTTGAATTCTGACTCTTGAATGACTTTTAATGGCTCAGTAAAGCTGAAAAATGCTAGTCAGAGCACCCCCTCATGAATGTATTTTGAAACAAAGACCAAAAATTTGCCAACAAGAAGAAGCAAAAGGAGTATAAATGTGATGTTAGTGTGAAACTCGAAATAGTCATATTTATTTATTGCTTTTCATATGACTGTAACATCCCACCGCATAAATTTGAGTGGCAGAAAAGGTCAAGATGTATGTTTGAATGGGTGAAATTGCTGGCGGAATAATGAATAAGGCAGATAAGAGACTAAAGCAGGCCTTTCTTGTCTTCCATATAAAATCAAGTCCACTCTCTGCACACTTAAGATATTTTGTTTTGCTGCTAAATTGCTTTGGAGCATGCTGAAACAGAAAATCAATGGTTTGATTGAGTTTTTCTTTTCAGAAGACATGGGATCTTACAGATAGAGCAAGATAGAACAAGGAAGGAAAGAAAAGAGTGAAAAAAGAGGGAACCATTAGGTCAAGTGACTGCTGTTCTGTATTCAGTCAACTCACCACGCCATGGCTATATTGTGCTTTGATGCTACAAATTAAGTAAATATAGGTTATTTTAATTTTTTTATTTTAATATCATCGGTGTATCATTGTGCGTTTAAAGGAATACATTATCATTCAAAAGTTCAAGATCAGTATGATTGTTTTTTTAAAGAAATTAATACGTTTATTCAGAAAAGATGCATTACATTAATCAAAAGTGAAAGAGTAGACAGGTATAATGTTAAAGATTTCCATTTCAAAGAAATGCAGTTCCTTTGAACTTTCTGTAAATCAGAGAATCCTAAATATATATGAAGAATTCAGATGCAAAAGCCTCTAAGTGCCGTTTTAAATTTTCAACGAGCATTTTTATCAGGCTCCTATATTTATGTTCAAAAACATAAATATAGGATAATATTTATGTTCATATATATATATACTGTATATGTTTTTTTTTTCTTCTAACTGTGCTCTCCCTCTTTACAGTCTGCATATCATGTGTCTCTCATAAGTCTAACATAGCACTAAACAGAGCTTGAATGTGAAGCCCATAATTAGTCTGCATTGTTTGGGAAAGTGAAATGTTCCAGCATTGTTATACTAAATATCAGCACTCTTGAAGTGCCTCTTGTTCAATCAAATTAGAGGACCTGAACTAACTGTTGTTTTTCTGGCACAAAACAATGGGTTTTAAGTGAATGAACTCAACTGGGATGACAGCTGACATAATTAAACTTCAACCCCACAGCTAAAAAGTAATATACTCCCTAATTTACTTAACCGAGAATAGCAATGAGCAGCAGTATTCTTCTTTCAAATCAAAACATAAAATGCCATGGAAGGACACAGTCATTAAATTGCTTTTTGAATAGGTTCTTTGATGTGAATCATCTGAACAGTCACTGACTCACTCGAATGAATCAGACGTTTGCTGCCTATGAGAGAAGTTTGTTTAGCAAGGTTTTGATTATTATTTGATCAACTGAAAGCTGTGTGCACATTAAAAACATGTTACTTCATAAAAGTCTGTCTTCCTCTAACAGGCTAGAGTCCCCGACGAGGACACTGACACTGGAGGCCCCTAAAGGTGTTGAAGTCAACGCAGGAGTAGGGGAATTCAAAGCTTCTTGTAGGAAAGATCTCACTTTAGAGTCTTCAGAAGGAGAGGTGAGTATGTGAAATCGTATATACACTCTTACAAATAAAGGTGCTTCAAAAGGTTCTTCAAGCGATGCCATAGAAGAACCATTTAGTCAAAGGTTCTTTAAAGAACCAGGTCTTTCTTACCTTTTTGTAATCTGAAGAACCTTCTTTCGACACAAAGAACCTTTTGTGAAACAGAAAGGTTCTTCAGACGTTAAAGGTTCTTTATGGAACCATTTAGACAAAAAAGGTTCTTCTATGGCATCGTGAAGCGCCTTTATTTTTAAGAGTGTAAAGGAAACCATGTGGATGTCAGAAAGGTTAATAGCAGTAGTATAACCAGGAATGCCATGGATGAACAAAAAGGTTACAGGTTCTGATGAGCAAGAAACTGCTGAGTTACCAAGATTATAACCAATATTCCGAAACAAAAACAACACAAACCATTATACGTAAAATAATTATATGTTGTGTCTTTACTGAACACAATTTGGGAGATTCATGGCTTCATCTAACAAACAAACAATCAAATAATAATAAAAAAAATAATAATATGCACAACTGTTTTCAGCATTGATATCTAAATGATCATGTGACATCACATTTTAAAATGTCAAAATTGAAAATGGTTATTTTAAATTCTAGTATTATTTCACAATATCACTTTTTTACTGTATTTGTGATTAAATAAATACAAGCATGGTGAGCATAAAATAATTATTTCAAAAAAAAAAATGTTTCATTCATTTTGAATGGTAGTGTAATAACTAATTGATCTTTGTCAGCAACAACTGGTGTGTTTAGTAAAGACATGGAAATGCATGATTATTTGTGTGTAATTTGTATAAACAGACTGTGCTTGTCTACTATTGTTGTTTATGCCAAGCACACTACTGTAAGTCATTTTTCGGAGCATTTTAAAACTCGCAATTTCTTGTTTTCTGTCATTTTGGGGAGCACTTCTGACAACTCATCGCCGGCTATGTGCGTCAATTACAGGATCATTCACCACACATAGTACACTTACCAATACATGAGTCGATTCTTGACAACATGTCAACAAACTACTTGAGATAGAATGGTGTGTTTTAGTTTTGCACTGCTTCATCCTCCTCTCACGCCTTTTCAGTTTCTTGCAGTTTCTTACATCTCTCTCTCTTGTGCACACATCTGACGACTTCCTGGGATAGTTGATCCAAAAATTTTAATTCTGTCATAATTAACTAGGCGGGGCAAATACCGCACTGACCAACTGTCACATCCTACCTGTACTACGACTGAACGACAATAGAGAAGTTAATATTAATATGAAAAATATTGCATGCATTTTGTTTGTGATGCATCTGCTACATTACTTCAGTGGCTATTCTGTATCACAGCAACCGAGTGTCTCAACTGAAAAAAAAAAAAGCCTCTGTAGCACTCGCAAGCATTCACAGCTAGGCATTTTCAGAAGAGCGCTTGCCGTTTTCAGCTGGCTAAAGGCGCTTTGATGGACACATGGCATAAGGAGCTGACTTTCACCCGATCATGTACAATGTACAGAATATGTGAAACAATGCAAACACGATGCTGAATCGAGTGTATATGTATATGCCTTATAGGCGTTTTTTTTTCATTGGCTCTGCGTTAAATGCTTTTTCCTGTATTTCTTTTTATTTTGTTTGCACACAATGTTTAATGTTTTAAAACTGAAAAAACACAGGATTTAATTTATAAGCTTGTTCTGATAAGATTGTTCGGAAATGGTGACAAAATTAAAGTTTGATTAAAAACGCCTTTCTCATTAAGCGTCATTTAAATAAACGTATATTCGAATATTTGTTTTTTTATGAGCTCAAATATTCGAATGCAATATTTTTTTTTTAAATGCCCATCCCTACACAGAAGCAATCTTACTGGCAGCATGTACTGTACTTCCATCAAGAACTGAATGAGTTATCTAATGTTCACATTTCATATAATGTGTTACATTACATCTTTTGTTAAGTTGGTGTGACTTCTGGTCAGATGTGAGTAGACCATGTCCTCTGTAATTGCCTACACCAAGCACCTCCTGTATACTTCAGGTCATTCTCCTTTTCCTTGTTCCTGATCTCCTCCTGTTATACACTCATCTGTCTCCATCTTTCCCTGTCTACAAGCCTGATTCACTGTCCCATAACTGCAATGTTAGTGTAATTCCACAAGCACCTTGAACATGTTTAGATTATCCATGCTCACCGACCTTCCTTCCCTCTCGTTTAAATTAGTGCCGCCATGTTGAGCTGTCCATAGCTCTCTTTCTCTCTTCCTTTCTCTCTCTCTCTCCTTCTCCTATCTCACTTTAGTTATACTGCCCAGGCTATTTAATTAACTTCCATGAGTCCAAGTCATATATCATGCTGCGCTGTCACCTCTTTGGGATTTTTTTCTTCTTCTTCTTCATTCGTGGTGCAGGATGGTGCTGTGAGGAGTGATATAAGAGACAAAGTGGCTGATGCACAGTAAGGGTGCTAATAAAGCTTACATAATTTCTTACAAGAATTGTTCAAGTGATTGTGATGCAAAATCACCAAAAGTTGGTCCGTAAGAATCGTGCACATATATATATATATATATATATATATATATATATATATATATATATATATATATATATAATTATATATTATTATATATATATATTATAACTTGATGGCGAAGCTGAATTTTCAGTCTTTCTCCAGTCTTTAGTGTCATCAATTGAATGCATCCTTGCAGAATATATCAGAAATCAACCTTATTCATTCAGGCAATTAAATTATAAATTATTTTATAAATAAATTAAATTATTTTACAAATCTCTCCTGAACACACTATTGAGCTAGTGTGGATGGCGAGTCTTCCAGTAAATAAAGACTATTTTTTCAGTCTCACAAAGCTATTGTATTGCTTTAGCATCCTTTTTGAAACTTTAAAGGTTTGCATTCATACTAATTGTCTGGAAAAGACCGCTACTAGTACATTTTGGTTTAATATTTCTTGTTTTGAGTTTCACCGAAGAAAGTCTTTTGGTTTTGGAATGACATGACTATTTGGCCTTTGTCTCGGTCTCTCTCTTTCTTGCCTACCTCTTGCTTTTGCTCTCTCTCTCTCTCTCTTTGCCCTTCTTTATGAACAAGCTCAGTAATTTAGAACAAATGCTCATATCAGCACAATCCCATCCTGTTTGCCCCCATCTCTCCCTGTAATTCTCCAGAGGGACGAGACGCTGAAAATAAATGCCTCTGTCAATTTGGAAAAGAGAATCAAGTGCATTAGACAGCTGAGACAGAAATCAAATCAATGTTGTCAGCAGCCGACTCTTAAGAGGGCAATGTTAAAAAGTTTGGGGTGAGAGAATTAAGGGGAATGGCTGACTGGGTCCATGTCCTATTGCCTTTTCTCTTCCTGCTGCCCATTGAGATCAAGGGAAATGAGAAGTGACTGCTGTATGTGCTCTGATAGCTCTCGTGAGAGAGAGAGAGAAAGAGAGAGAGAGATAAAGAGAGGGAGGGAGAAGAGACCCTGAATACTGTTTCTTTAGTTGAAGGCATTACAGCATTGTAAAGTAAAATTAAAAGATTAAAGATTAAAACAGCCTAAACTGGTTTACTGTCTTCCAGCCTGAACTGTTTTACTGGTTTTGGGTGCTTTTCATCTGATAAGACTGGGGAAACAATTTGAAAATTAAACAGTCAAAGCCTATTTGCACTAGACATGCTGGTTTCAGCTGCAGAAATGTCCTGGTCTTCTAGCCGCTAAATCCACCCGCGATCCCCAGGACAACAGTCTGCGCTGTGCCTTGGCAACAGCGGGACCTCTGCCAGCGGGATTGCGAGCCTGGCCGCTGTCATCAAACGCAGCCAGGCGAGAGCGGAGCGTGCGCAGCGAGAGCTCGCAGTGATGACAATCAGCTGCTCGAAAGCTGACCGCGCATGCTTTGCTCCTAAACAAACGACACACAAATCGTGTGTATCCCCTGCCGCCAGATATCGTGGGCAGGGAGAAACACAGCATTTGTAATGCCGTTCGCTCGCCATAGACTTTCTCATTGTTTTATATATATGAGTGCTTGTGCGGACAGACAACAGTAAATAGACAGACACATACACAGAGCGCTACTGAAGAGCAGAAGCTGGTTTGCGCCCGGCCGGATGTGCTTTTATGCTTTCTGGTGCTTACGTCACCCTGCTCGTGACGTCTCGCTGCTCCATTGGACGGATTTGACACGTGCTTCAGAACGTGGTCACGCAAGGGCGTTCCCAAAGCGACTCGACGCAGCTCGAGTTCCTGAAGGGGAAACACGCTTGTGGTGAAAAACTTTCAACACAGATATTGGGTAACTTATTGCACATTTCTCGTCAGTTTCAAAGTTCAGTGAGTGGTGCTAAAACGCATGTGCAATACATGAACGTGGCCATATTTTTATTATGTTGCTTCAGGTACCTATTGTGGCAGTTGAGAATTAAAATGTCCAGAGAGTGTCGCTAAACAGTTAATGCTCTATCGCAGGGATCGTCAAATCTGGCCCATGAGATTCACTTTCCTGCGGAGTTTAGCTCTAACCCTAATCACACCTGAGCATGCTAATCAATGTCTTCAGGATCATTTGAAAATCACAGGTAGGTGAGTTTGATCAGGGTTGGAGCCAGGGCAAGGTTTGAGGAACCCTGCTCTATTGTGTTGGAAAATAACAAACCTCCTACAGCAGGGGTGTCAGACTCAATTCCTGGAGGGCTGGAGCTCTGCAGATTTTAGATTTAACCCTAATTAAACACACCTGATCCAAGTAATCAAGTCAGGTTTATTTGAAAACTACATGGTATGTGTGTTGGAGCAGGGTTGGAACAAAACTCTGAGTTTGAACACCCCTGCCCTACACCAAACCCAAGCCTAAACCTACCTGATAGTATTAACAAAAGCAAAAGTGATATAAAAACACATATGCTGATGCAACTGTGCTGTTTTAACTTCCTTATACATGGGTTTGAGCTGTTCTGTCATTCGTACCGAAACTCTTC